AGCTGGCCCATGGGCAGGACCCCCACTGCAGCAGGGACCACGACCACAAGACTGCAGCCTCAGATCTCAGTGAGGGAGGGCAGCAGAAGAGCAGGGCAGGCTCCAGGACACCTGAACCCACACAACAGAGCTTGGGGAGTGAGGAAAATGCTCACGTGATCCCTGAGCCCGCGATGTCAAACTCGATGAGCCGGACATCCTGGAAATGGGCGGGTGCTGTGAGCCTCTGGTTGGACACCACGCGGGCAGGGAAGGGCTGCAGCTCACAGGGAGCCCCCCGGGGGGGTGCTGGCTGCAGCAGGGCACCCTCAGGCTCTGGGCAGTCCTCAGGCAGGTAGTGCAGTGTGTATTTGGGGGGCAGGCTGTGGGAAGGACAGCAATGCAATGCAGCAGGGTTACCTCCACGCCACAGCTGCTCTGCTGCTGCAAGATGAGAGGCAGGGAGAGGCCTGGAGTGTCCCACTGTACCCACCAGCCATTGCCCCCATCCCCTGGAGCTGGCCTGTGTAAGGGGATGCAATGGAGACCACCAGGAGGAGATGCCAAGGCTCCTGAGCATGCAGGGCACACACTCTCTACCAGGGCCAGAGGCACCTCAGGACAGACAGATGGGCAGAACAGTCACAGTTCCCAGGGGAAAAGGGGACACCCATCCAGAGAGAGATGGGCCACCTGTGGCCAAAGCACAGGGGACACTGGGGACACCAGAAGCTGTGTGGGGAGGGTTCCTGCTCCAAGCAGAGTCCATCTCCACTCTGCAGAGCAGCCCAGGCAGCCCAGCAGTCCCTGCTCACCCTCTGCACTCACCGCACGTCGGGACTGATGATCTCAAGGCCAGGACGGAGAGGATACAAGGCAAGGATCTTCTCCCACAAGGCCACGAGCCAGGGATCAACCACTGCATCTGGCCTGCAAGTGGGAAACTCAGGCTGCAGCAACATCATCCCTTCAGGGTCCAGCCCTGCTACCCCTGCCCATGCCCAACAACCATTCCCACAGTCACCCCAGGCCATTCCCTTCCAACTTCAGGTCTGGGAACAAACACATCTCAGCCACTCCATGCACTCAATCGCTCTCCAGGGCCCAACCACTGAGCCCTGAAGAGGATCTCCAGCCCCTGAGCAGCACTGGGTCACTGTGTCCCTGAGCCATCCACAGCCTTTGCCCCCTGCCAGGTGAGCACAGCTGAGGCTGCTGCAATGCCTGCAGGTACAGGGCTGTGTGGCACAGCCATGCCCTGCTCTGCACAGGGCTGGGGCTGAGCCAGGGGTCATGGCCCCGTTCTGGGGGCCATGGGACACCCTGGAGCTGCAGGTGGCCCAGGTGCTGGCACAGGAGGGTTATGAGCAGGGATCAGCACATTCCCAGAGAGCTGCAGGAGCAGCCCCGTGGTGGGAGCAGCACACAGCCCTGCCATCAGCCCCAGGACAGAGCTGCAGGGCACCCCGGGGCCCCCCACACCCCCTCCTCTGGGCTCTTACCCCAGGTCATGCTGGTCATCCCCCAGGGCCACGGGCAGCAGCGGGTTGGCCCCGAGCTGGAGCAGCCGTTTGTGCAGCTTCTTTGCAATGAAATTAAACCTGAGCAGAGAACAACAACACAGGGCAGGGCTGCTCCAGCAGCACAGCAGGCACTGCCACAGCACCAGCACACACTGCCAGGGCCACCAGAGCAGCACACAGGCACAGCCAGCACTGTGACCTGGCCCATGTCCTGCCCAGCCTGTGCCAGCTCACAGAACCAGCTGGGTGCCACTTGCTGGCCCTCACAGGCTGTGCCCAGCCCTGAAACAGGACAAGGGGAGATCCAGGTTCCCTTCGGGGCAGCTTGTGCCCTGGGCCATAGAACATTTCCTTCCCTCCAGCCCCTCAGTGCCCCACAGAGCCCAGGCACACCCATCCCTCCCACTAGGGCTCTTTGAGACACAGGAACAACCTTCTGGGAGAGACCTGGGACCAGCATGGCTGGCTGCCACCTCTGTTTGATGTCCCCTGTTGCCTTGGCCCACAGCTGTGATAAAAGACTGACACATGATGTCTGACCCACCAAAGCATCCTTGGTGAGCTTGGGAGGAAAGAAAAGGGCAGCAGCCTATTTCCTGGGGGTGAGGAGGGACACAGCAGGGGAAGGGTTTTTAAGGCTGGTGGGAGTTACATTTTGCTTGAGGTGCTGCTCCAGAATCAGACTCTGTCTCCCCTTACCCCCTTGGCTCTCCAGCCACTCTGCTCTCCCCTGCAGCTTCCTGGGGCTGCTTACTTGGGGTAGGAGGAGTCCCCGAGGCCCAGCACGGCGTAGTCCAGCTGGCACAGGGCGCTGCCAGGGAGGCTCTTCCGGAACAGGAACCGCCAGAACATCTACAACAGGCACATGCAGCCGGTGCTGCTGCTGCCAGGCACCTCCTGCCTGCCTGGCCCTGCTCCCAGCCCACCCAGCCCAGCAGAGTGGGGAGCACGGCTTTCTGCTCAAATGCCCCTGCTCCTGTTCCCTGGCATGTGCCTGGTGCTGCTGCAAAGCTCCCCCAGCAAGAACAAGCTCAAACTGCCCCAGCAGAGAGAGCCCTGCAGCAGGAACACACAGCAACAGGACAGGAGCAGCTCCTACCTTCATGTTGTCAGGTGGGTCTCCCTGGCCTGTGGTTGCACACACAAACACCACCAAGGGCTCGTGGATGAGGTTGGCCTGAGGGTACAAACACAGCACAATCAGCTCAGCAGCCTCCAAACTGCTCTGGAGCCAGGATGGGACAGCTCAGGGTGTTCAGCCTGGGGAAGAGAAGGCTCCAGGGAGACCTCAGGGCCCCTGCCAGTGCCTAAAGGGGCTCCAGAAGAGCTGGAGAGGGACTGGGGACAAGGCACGGAGGGACAGGACAAGGGGGAATGTCCATAAGCTGAAGGAGAGCATGTTTAGGTCAGATATTAGGAAGAAATTCTTCCCTGTGAGGGTGATGAGGTTCTGGAACAGGTTGCCCAGAGAAATTGTGGGTGCCCCTGGATCCTGGGAAGTGTCCAAGGCCAGGCTGGACAGGGCTTGGAGCAAGCAGCACCAAGCCTGTCTGAGTCCAACAGCATTTGGACAACGCTCTCAGGCACAGGGTGGGATGGTTGGGGTGTCCTGGGCAGGGCCAGGAGCTGACTCCATGATCCTGATGGGTTCTTCCAACTCAGCTTGTGCCATGGTTCCGTGGTGCTGTGGGACGTGTCCGTGCCCATGGGGTTGGCACAGAGTGGCAGTGCCCCAGCAGCCCTGTGTCCCACACCCACACACCAGGTCACAGCTGTCCAGGGCAGAGCAGCAGTGTCCCACACACTCACCAAGTCACAGCAGCCCCGTGTCCCACACTCACCCCCCTGTGTCCCACACTCACCAGGTCACAGCCATCCCATGTCCCACACTCACCAGGTCACAGCCATCCTGTGTCCCCCACACTCACCAGGTCACAGCAGCCCCGTGTCCCACACTCACCAGGTCACAGCCATCCTGTGTCCCCCACACTCACCAGGTCACAGCAGCCCTGTGTCCCACACTCACCAGGTCACAGCTGTCCCATGTCCCACACACACTCACCAGGTCACAGCCATCCCGTGTCCCACACTCACCAGGTCACAGCTGTCCCATGTCCCACACACACTCACCAGGTCACAGCCATCCCGTGTCCCACACTCACCAGGTCACAGCTGTCCCATGTCCCACACTCACCAGGTCACAGCTGTCCCGTGTCCCACACTCACCAGGTCACAGCTGTCCAGGGCCTGCACCCGGCAGCGCAGGTGCCGTCTCTGGGCCTCCCTGCCCACCCTCTCCGCCGTGTCCTGAGCTGTGCCAGTCTGGCTGCCAAAGAGCACCAGGAGTCCCTTTTCTGCCATCTGCAGGAGGCAACAGCAGGGAAGTCACACGAGGGAAGGGACAGGGGCTGGGCAGGGCTGGGCTGAGCAGCACTGACCCCCAGGGGCTGGCACAGCACCCAGCCAGCACAGGCATGGTGAGCAGCTGGCATTCAGCAGAGCGAGTCAAGGCTGCCAGGCTCTCTTCCCACCCCTGTGCAGCGCTGAGGGAGGGATCCCATGTCCCAGCCCATGGAATAAGCAGCGACACTACTGTGCTCCTTGTCCCCCTGCCAGGCCAGAGGAGTGACCAAAACCCACCCAACTGCCCTCAGCAGCCCAGGGTGAGCACAGCCCTGGGTGGGCTGTTCCCCAATCCTGGTGTAACCTTCCTGTGTGCCCTGGGAGCCCTCCCTCCCCCGAGGGGCTGGGGCAGGGCCGGAAGGCTCAGTGACAGACACAGGCACTGAGCTCTCAGCCAGACTCTGGCAGAGCAGGGGCCCAGCCCAGAGGGGATCCAGCCCTGGCACCTGTCTGAGCTGCAAACAGCTGCCATCACCATGTGCCCACAGAATAATATTAAATTAAATCATAATAATGTAAAATAGAATCGCAGAATCTCAGACTGCTTTGGGTCATCAGAGACCTTAAAGCCCATCCAGTGCCACCCCTGCCATGGCAGGGACACCTCCCACTGTCCCAGGCTGCTCCCAGCCCTGCCCAGCCTGGCCTTGGGCACTGCCAGGGATCCAGGGGTAGCCACAGCTGCTCTGGGCACCCTGTGCCAGGGCCTGCCCACCCTGCCAGGGAACAATTCCCAATTCCCAATATCCCATCCAGCCCTGCCCTGTGGCAGTGGGAGCCATTCCCTGTGTCCTGTCCCTCCATCCCTGTCCCCAGTCCCTCCCCAGCTCTCCCGGGGTTTCTCCTCTCCAGCTGAGCACCCCCGGCCCCGGGGCCCGGTCCGGCCGCTCCGCGGGACTCACCATGGACGGGCCCCATGCCGCCTCTGACGTCACCACTTCGCGACAGTCCCCGCTGACGTCATCATCGAGGCAGAGCGGCCGGGGCTCCCCGCTCACCGTATCTCCGCATGATGACGTCACCCGCCTGTCGCCTCTCACCGTGACGCCATCGCCCCGCGCCGCCGGGCCGGGCCAGGCCGGGCCTGGTGCCGGTACCGGTGCCGGTTCAGGTTCAGGGCTTGGGGCTGGGACCGGTGTCGGCGTTGGGGCCGGGCTGGACCTGGTCCCTGGCTGGGCCAGGGCTGGTGCCGGGGCCGGGCCGCGGCCGGGGCCGGGCCGGTGCTGGGTTAAGGGCCGGTGTCGGTGCCGGCTTGAGGACTTGTGCCGGTGCCGGGCTGCGCCAGTGCCGGGTCAAGGGCCGGTGCTGGTGCCGGCTTGAGCACTTGTGCCGGTGCCGGTATCGCGCCGGGCCGGTGCCGGTGTCGTTGCCGGGTTGAGGAGTGGCGGTGCCGGTGTCGGTGCCGGTTTGGGGATTGTCGGTGCCGGGCCGGTGCCGGTTTAAGGAGTGTCGGTGTCGGTGCCGGTGTCGGTGCCGTTACCCAGCGCGGACGATGCTGTTCTCCCTGCGCGAGCTCGTGCAGTGGCTCGGCTTCGCCACCTTCGAGATCTTCCTGCACGGGCTGGCCCTGCTCGCCTTCTCCGTGCTGCTCGTGCTCAAGGTGGACGGCGCGGCCGCCGCGCTCTCCTGGTGGATCGTGTTCGTGCCGTTCTTCGCCGCCGACGGGCTCAGCACCTACTTCACCACCATCGTGTCCGTGCGGCTGTTCCAGGACGGCGAGAAGCGGCTGGCGGTGCTGCGGCTCTTCTGGATCCTCACCATCCTCAGCCTCAAGTTCGTGTTCGAGATGCTGCTGTGCCAGAAGCTGGTGGAGCACACGCGGGAGCTCTGGTACGGGCTCATCATGTCGCCCGTGTTCATCCTGCTGCAGCTGCTCATGATCCGGGCCTGCCGCGTGAACTGAGCCCGGGGCCGCTCCCCGGGGCCGCTCCCGGCTCTGTCCCGCTGCGGAGGGGCCGGTGACAGCCGGGACGGGGCCGTGCCCCGCTCGCGGCCGTGCTGCAGAGCATCGTGTTCTCCACACATCCCTGTTCGTGCCCCCTCAGCCCTGCCTTGTCCTGTGCTGCGAGCGTGGCTGGGCGTGACACTTATTTTATTTTAGAATTAAAATGGCTTGAAGGATTGGGTTTATTTATAAATTCTTCTTGCCTAGAAAGCTGTTGTACCTCAAACTGCTGCCTGGAGTGTGGGTGCTTGCCGTAGATCTCCAGGTACAGCTCAGACTCCTGCCCTGCCCAGCAGCTGGCTCATGGATTCCCATCTGTCCCCTCACCTCCCTGAGCACTTCCCACCTTCACTGCTCTGACAGGGTTTGTGAGGTGATGTTGAGATCACTGGTGTGTGTATTTTTGAACAGGAATATGATTTTTCTTTGTGTTTCACTCCATTTCCTAAACATGGAGTTGGGGGTGTGGGGAGGCAGGAGCATGCAAGGCTGGTGCTGGTTCTGAAGGGGGTGTCTCCCACTGAGCCCCACCTTGGGCTGCAGCACTGCCCCCAGACCCCCAGAGAACAGGAGTAATTCAGTATTCCCTGTGGGAGTGCAGACCAGTGTGTGGAGTGCCAGTGTCACGGGGGTGCCCAGGGTGGCACTGTTGGGGTGTCTGTGCAGGGCCAGGAGCTGCCCTGGATGGTCCCTCCAGCTCAGGAGGGTCTGTGGTTCCTGCACACCCTGAGGTGGCTCTGGACCTGCCCCACAGGTGCTCTTCAGCTCCTGTTCCATGTTGGGATGCTCCCAGGGCTTGTGTCACCTGGCCCAGGTGCTCAGGTTATTCCTCTTTGAGCCTCTCTCTGAGCAAACGTCACCTGGGGGTGGCAGTGCCTGCTCCTGTCACCTGGGGGTGGCAGTGCCTGCTCCTCTCACCTGGGGGTGGCAGTGCCTGCTCCTGTCACCCCTGACTCACAGCAGTGTGAGCTCATCCCCCTCTTGCCGTGGTTGTGCCACACGCCCCCAGTGACCCTGAGTGCACAGGCCAGGGGTGTTGTGTGCCCTGCTGTCCCCAGAGGGATGTCAGCAGCAGCAGGGTCGCTGCTGAGGCTGGAAGGGGCTGTGTGGGGTGGGAGCTATGTGGGGTCAGTGGCTCCTGCAGCAGGTGAGGGACAGGAGAGGAGCAGGACAGGCAGCAAAGCCTCTGAGTCAGGAGGGGACACTCACAGAGTGGTTTTGGGGACTGATGGTGCCTTTGGACACTCCCACAGCTAATTAATAAACTCAGGAAGGGGCTCATCAGCCCCAAGGAAGATCAAACAGATGATCACATCCCTCAGCCTCGCTGCACAGCACGGAGCCCTTTGCTGCTGCCCAGCCCTGCACCCAAAGCAGCACCAGCCTGGCCCTGGGGTGCTGTGTGACACAGGGGGACATCTCTCCGAGGGCACATCCCCACCTGCAAGGGGCTTTGCCAGCTTTGCTGCTGCCTTGGGGACAAACCAGTGGTCAGCGTGTGCCAGCTCTGCTCCTTCAAGGTAAGGCAGCTTCCCTGGGGTGTGGGGACAAAGGGGTGGCACAGGGGTGGCACACCATTGAGCAGTGGCACGGGCTGTGCTGCCCTGCTGGGGTGCTGGGGTGGGGGGAGCTCTGGCAGCCAGGACCACCCCGTCACCCCTCCCAGGACTCATGCTTGGTGCACAGGAGTCACCTGCTGTGCCCAGGGCCACCAAGTCCTGGAGCAAAGCTTGTTGTGGCCTTTGCCCTGGCACTCAGCAGTGTGCAGTGCTGGCACACCAGCCTGCGGCCACACAGAATTCTTTCTGGGATCACCCCCCATGGAGAAATGCTGCTGGATCCCCCTCTGACACAGCTTGAGGGGACCCTGGCACCCATTCCCTGCCCAGTGCGAGCTGAGGTGTCTGGCCTGGGCTGGAGACTCTTCAGGTCCCAGCCAGAACTCTTCCCCACCCTGGCAAAGGTGAAAATGTCACCTCTGGGTTTGTTTTCATTGCTGTGGCTGGTGGGTCCTTTCCCAAGTCCAGGGTAGTGCCCTGCTGCTCTGGCTGTGTGGGTACCCTGGGAGGGAGGTGCAGCTTCCCAGGGCTGCTGCAGATCCCAGCCCTGAGCCCCTCTGTGCCCTCTGCACAGCCAGCCCGGGTGCCAAAGCAGCATTGCTGAGGCACAGGGGCAGCACCAGCCCCAGCTGCCACCCTTGCCCTGTGTCCCAGCCCCTGCAGGGACGGGAGCAGCCCCTGGAGAGCCATCTGAGCCTGGGGAGGGTGCAGTGCAGGAGAGCAGCCAGTGCTGCTGCTGTGCCCATGCCCAGAGCACAGCCTGGCACAGCCCAGATGGGCTCCATGCACTGGGACAGGGCTCCAGCACAGCCTGGGCCTCCAGGGGGGCAAGGGAACACAGCAGGGAAGCTTCAAATGGCCCAAACTCCTCCAGTCCTGCTGCAATCAGTGGAGGGGAGGGCTGGAGCTGGTCTGTGCTGGGACAAGTCACAGCAGGACCCAGGGAAGGCCTGGCAGAGGAACAGGGGGCAAGAGCAAGTGGAGCAGCTCCCTGGGGACACGGGACAAGCTCAGAGCCACCGCCTGCACCTCCCATCCTGGGACTGGGGTGACCTCAGAGCAGAAACTGAGTTCTGGGAAATGAGACTCCCTTTTTTAACCCTGAGTCAATGTGCTTTCCTTTGAGAAGGCACCAGGAAGGTGCTGGCAGAGGAGGTGATGTCATTTCCCAAACAGCCTCCAGCCTGGCAGCGGTGGCCGGGCTGGAGCCTCACAGTCCCCACACCAGCCTGGCAACTCCCTGTGGGTGCCAGAGCCACTGCAAGGGCCACAGGCAAATAAAAACCTGTCAAAAGCAGATCAAACAGGGGTGTGTGTGTACTCTAGCCACGCTTCCCCACAGCAGATTTGTCTATAAGAAGTCAGAAGGAGACACTTGGTGCCTCTCTCTGTCAGGAGCAAACAGCACATTTCACTCTCAGCAGAGCACGGCCCTGAAGCCAAACAGGGCTGGGCTGATGTGCCCGAGGACCTGAGGGGAGCCACGTGAGAGCAGCTGCTCCTGGGGCCAGGCCCCCACGGCCCTTCCACGTCCTGCTCGGACACCACAGAGCCCTGAGCCCCCAAATTTAGCAGAGACACCCTTTGGGTGGGACTGCCTGGAGGAAACCGAGGCCTGGGTGTGGGGAGGGTCAGGGCAACGAGGGCTCCTCTGCACAGCATTTCCCTCCCAGCACTGCCCTGTTTGCCTCAGCTGGGACAAGGCAGCTGGAACTGTGTCCTTCCTCACAGATCCCTGTGGCTCACAGCCACAGCCCAGCCAGGGCAGCATCACTGGCACAGCTGCAGAGCTGCACATGGGGCCAGCATGGGCAAGGGGAAACAGCCCCTCACCAAAACCTCTGGGGCTGCTTCTTTAGTTCAAAAAGGGACAGGAAAAGTGAAGAGTTGGCCATGCTGTGTTTGGGTTTGGAGCTGGAGGTTTTGGCCAGCTCTGGGTGCACACAGCCACTGGCAGTGCCACATGAGGGGCCAGGGCTGGTTGGTGCCTCTCTGTCCCAGGTGGGGATGGGACCCCTGTGCTCAGAACAGCCCTGTGCAGCCAGCAGGGGATTTCCAGAGCAGGGACACTCATCCTCATCTCCCACTGAGTCCAAAGGCTGTGTGTTGTGTGGAGGTGGGAGTGCAGGAGTGGTGACACCCTCTGGGCTTCAGGAGCCACCCTAAAGGACACTGCCGTGGGAGTGTTGGCATGCCACGAGCCCACAGACACTGTGCTGACACGCCATCATATCACAAAATGAAAGAGTTGTGTTTATTTTGTTCTTTCAGCTAAGAGTCAACTATGTTTTTTCAAAAATAGGGTGAGACTTACAGAAAATGCACTGTGGACATTTCCCTAAGTGTCAGAGAGGGGATTTGTTGAAATGAAGTACCATGAGAAGGTTAAAAATTCACTGCAGGACAGGACAAACAAAAGAACTTATGAAAGACTTGAGAATAACCAATCCTGCAGTACCTGAGAGCCATGACCCAAGAAGTAAAGAGCAGGAGGACACTATAAATCAAATTACAAAGCCAAATAAAATCTTTGTGTGCTTCCAGTGCTCATTAGCATAGTGAAATCCCTGCCCACAGGCTGTGATCACCCCTTACTCACAATAACCCCTTCCCCACAGAGCAGGAGCAGTAAAAGAAGTGTGCAGGGTCTCTTTAAAGGAGGCAGAGACTGCAAAACCAATGGCTGCACCAGTTGTGGTTGGCTGTAGGGAAATGCTCATTTCTGTCACTTCAAATGTGCAAAAATGGGCACCTGGCATGCTGAGGGTGTGTCAGCTTTGATTCACCACCAGCACCCATCGCTGCACAGATGAGAAATAAAATCATTCTCAACTCAGAGCGTGAATCTGCCCCTTGCCCAAGGGTGGGGGATCCAGAGTGGGGGCAGTAGGGAGAGGGAGGGCCCAGAGGTGTGAGGGGCCTTGCTGTCACAGCATGGTGACACTGCCGGGGTGACACTGCCGGGGTGACATTGCCACCGTGACGTTGCCGGGGCGACACTGCCAGGGCGACACTGCCAGGGTGACCCTGCCAGGGTGACCCTGCCAGGGTGACACTGCTGGGGTGACACTGCCATGGTGTCACTGCCACAGTGACACTGCTGGGGTGACACTGCCATGGTGTCACTGCCAGGGTGACACTGCTGGGGTGACACTGCCGGGGTGACACTGCCAGGGTGTCCCTGCCATGGTGACACTGTCATGGTGACAGTGCCACGGTGACATTACCAGGGTGTCCCTGCCATGGTGTCACTGCCACGGTGACACTGCCATGGTGTCACTGCCAGGGTGACACTGCTGGGGTGACACTGCCGGGGTGACACAGCCATGGTGACCCTGCCAGGGTGACACTGCCATGGTGTCACTGCCACAGTGACACTGCTGGGGTGACACTGCCATGGTGTCACTGCCAGGGTGACACTGCTGGGGTGACACTGCCGGGGTGACACTGCCAGGGTGTCCCTGCCATGGTGACACTGTCACGGTGACAGTGCCACGGTGACATTACCAGGGTGACCCTGCCATGGTGTCACTGCCACGGTGACACTGCCACGGTGACACTGCCATGGTGACACTGCCAGGGTGACACTGCCGGGGTGTCACTGCCAGGGTGTCACAGCCATGGTGACACTGTCACGGTGACACTGCCAGGGTGTCCCTGCCATGGTGACACTGTCACGGTGACATTACCAGGGTGACCCTGCCATGGTGTCACTGCCACGGTGACACTGCCACGGTGACACTGCCATGGTGACACTGCCAGGGTGTCACAGCCATGGTGACACTGCCACGGTGACATTACCAGGGTGACCCTGCCATGGTGTCACTGCCACGGTGACGCTGCCAGGGTGTCACAGCCATGGTGACACTGCCACAGTGACACTGCCAGGGCACACAGCAGCGCCTCTGCAGCCCAGCCATGGCGCTGGGCAGGGCCAGGGCCGCAGAGCTCCCCAGCCCAGCCCTTCCCTGCCAGCCCTGCCTGTGGGGCTCAGCTGGGGCTGCTCTGGCCCTGCCTCAGCCCGGGGCTCTGATCAGGGAGCTGCAGCAGCAGGAGGCAGCTCAGCCATGGGCCCAGGACAGCACATCCCTGCTGCCCAGCCCTTCCTGAGTCCTCCCCAGGCCCTCTGCTCTCCCCGGGCTCTGCAGGGCCCCCAGGAGCAGCACAAGGCTGGGACAAACCCAGGGAAGGGGAGGCCACAGCCCCAGCTGGGCCATGAGGGAGCCTTGGCTTGTCCCAAGGCCGTGCCCAGCCCGTGCTGCTGAGAGCCCTGGCAGGGCAATCCTCCCCTCTGATGGGAGCTTCCACCTCAGTGAGGTAAAACCCACAGCGACCTCCCACTCTGCCAGCTGGCAGGGCACTGGGTGCGGCAGATATCACTCACACCTCTTACAGACCTTGTAGAGAGCTTGGAATGGGAATGTGAAGGCTGGGGAGAGCAAAGAGAAAGCAGAACCAGGGGGTGTGAGAGCCCAGAGAAGCAGAGGGACAAGGGCTAAATGCAGTGATTTGTCCTTCATTCAAATGAGGAGGAGGAGGAAGCAACTGGCTGAAGATAAAGGCAATGCCAAACTGGGCCATGAATATACACCTGCAAGACAAACAGGAGAACAGATATTCAAGAGTTTCACCTATGGCTGATGAGCCCTCAGAGAAAATAACGGGCGAGAGATTTTCCAGCAGTATCCACTTCCAGAGGACATAAAAGGCAAGTCCAAGCTGGGTTTGCTGCACTGGAGGAGCACAGAGGGACCCCCAGGGCACAGCCTGGTGAGCTGAGACAGGTGAGCTGCCCTTCCCAGCCCTGAAACTCAGCCTGCCTGCCCTGCTGCAGTGCCTCAGTGAGGGCTCTGCAGCTCCCTGTGCTCCCTTCTGCTCTGTGCAGGGCTCCTCTCACCCTCCCGGGCCCAGGAGATTGTTGTGATCCCATCATGGCTCTGCCAGGCTGTGGGGCAAGCAGCCCCTCTTTCCTGCAGCTCCCTGTATTTTATCCTCATAGTGCTTTTCCCAGGAAAAGATCTGATCATTGCCCAGGGTTCTGAGTGCACAGCCTGAGCCAGGGTCAGCTTTGGGAGCGGTCTCCTCACAGCTCTCACTGACACCATTGTTCCCAGGTCCAGCCACGCTTCTGCCTGTCTGGGTTTTCAGGAGTCTGCCCTCAATGCTGGCCAGGAAGGAATCCTTCACCAGTGCCATCATCGGGGTGCTGGTGGCACTCTCCATCATCGCCCTGGTTCTCAGCCTGGTGAGGGTTGAAGATGTGATGCTGCCTCCCACGGTCAAGGTGAGCCCAGAGCAGGTCCCTGAGCCCCTGGTGAGCCCAGAGCGGGTCCCTGAGCCCCTGGTGAGCCCAGAGCGGGTCCCTGAGCCCCTGGTGAGCCCAGAGAAGTCCCTGAGCCCCTGGTGAGCCCAGAGCGGGTCCCTGAGCCCCTGGTGAGCCCAGAGAAGTCCCTGAGCCCCTGGTGAGCCCAGTCCCCTGGGCAGGTGCTCTGAGCCAGCAGCTGCTCCGTGAGGCTGGAGGGGCAGTGGGGGCAGGACCTGCCTGGCAGTAGCAGGGTGGGTTTGGTCCCCACTTCGAGGTGCAGGCAGAAGAAAGTCAGAGGGGAAGGCTCCTCTGGAGCTCATCCCCACTGTGCTGTGCCAGGTCTGGAGATTACCTTGGGGCAGTGCTCCCTGTGCTCTGCCAGGGCACCTCGGGGTGCCCCTTGCTCCTGCCAGCTGCCCCCAGTCCATCCCTACCCTCACACCATGGCACAACCATCCTGTCTCCCCCTGCCGTGCCCTGGGCACAGCATCCCACCCTGCTGGGAGGGCTGGCAGGGCTTTGGCTGGGGGGAAAGGCTTTGTGGGCAGGGGGCTGAGTGCCTCTGGAGAGGCCCTGCCCAGGCTGGGCACTGCCGTGGGCTCGCAGGGAGCACCAGAGATGGGAGAGCTGCTGGCCCCAAGGTGGGGCCAGTGCAGACACAAAAGGTATGTGAGCATGAAAGAAAATAAAACAGCATGAGGAAACAACAGGAAATGTTTGTGTGGGTTGGCATTGCAGCACAGACCTGAGGAGAGGGAATGACAGTCCCTTGGTCACTGTGGGGGGCTGAGGCCACGGCACAGCTCTGTGCCTCAGACAGGGGTTTGGGGGAATCTTCCGGCCCCACTGCCCTGGCAGGGCCACAGTGGGGCCAGGGCCAGGCTGCTGCTGCTCCCCCAGCCTGATTGTGTGCGGATTTCCCTTGCAGTATGGGATGGTGTTTGATGCAGGCTCATCCCACACCTCTCTGTTCCTGTACCAGTGGGATTCGGACAAGGAGAACGACACTGGAGTGGTCAGCCAGACCCTGTCCTGTGATGTGCAGGGTCAGTATCCCCCTGCCATGGCTCTGTCCTGTCCTGTTCCATGGTGGCAGGGGTGGCCTGGCCGGACAGCCCTGTCTCTGGGCTGGCACTGGGGCACAGGGGAGCTCTGGCTGTGGCTGGGGGTCCCTGGGCTCTCAGCACCCTGTGGTGCCCCTGCACTGGGGGGGCTGGATGTTGATGGTGCATCAGTTTTTGCTTCTCCACCTTGGAGTGCTCCCAGCTGCTGTCCTGGCTGGAGAAGGTGTCACCCAGAGTGACACTGCTGAAGGCAAGGGAGACACAGGAGAGGAATGGACGTGTGAGTCAGTCAGGTCTCAGGGGACCAGGTGGCCCTGGAAAAGCACCTTTGTTGCTAAGAGGTGACAGCCCTCATTGCCCTGTGCCCTCCTGTTCCCACAACCCTTACCCAAGCCATTCCCATCAGCCTGTCCCATCCTGACTCTTTTTCAGGGCAAGGCATATCAAGCTATGCCAACAATCCCCCTGAAGCTGGCAATTCCCTAAGGGAGTGCTTGGATAAAGCCCTGCAGGTTATTCCTGCTGAGAAGCAGAGGGATGTCCCAGCTTACCTTGGAGCAACTGCTGGCATGAGGCTGCTGAGGTACTGCTGGGGACAGGGGTGGCAGCAGTGACAGAGCTGCAAACAGCCAGGACAGGGAGGAGAGGCAGCTTGGTGGGGACACAGGGAGGGCTGAACTGTCCTGAGCAATGTCTGTTGGGACACCCCAGGATGTCTCAGTTCTAAGCAAGAGATGTTTTTCACTGCTTTGTTTGCTCTTCATCATTCCTTAATAACAAGGAGGTTGGGGTGCCAGCTGATGTGCCACCTGCCCAGGTGGATGGGTGCTGGTGGGGCAGAGGTAGGAGGCAACAAAGTGCTGCAGGTGCTGTCCTCACCTTTCACCAGCCCATATTAGCTCTCTTCAAATGGCAGCCCTCATTTCATGGCCCTTGGTTTTATGGCTGCAGATTATTTCTGTGCCCTGGGTCATAGCCTGAAGGTTGCTCACTTCAGAGAGCAAGAACAGCCCTGAGACATCTTCCCCCCTGGGAGGGCTGAACCCAGCCTGAAACCTTCCTGAGAACCCCAGAGGTCAACAACCAGCCTGGGCACAGCCAGGGGGTAATGCTCAAACCCAGCTCTGGCAGCACAACCCCTCCAGCCTCAGCAGCCAGGCAGGGAAGGGTGACTGGGATGGCTCTGGGTGACTGGGATCAGGCTGCACTGCAGGGGAGGCGTTGCTCTTGCTCCTACATTGGCAATGCCAAGCTGAGGCAGCTGGGATTCACCTCGGATGAGCAGCTCAGACAAGCCATGTGGCAGGAAACCCTTTCAGACAGATTGCTTGCTGCAAAACCTGTGGGGATGGGGAACTGGGAGAGAACCAGACCTTGTTTGTGTTTCCTCTGTTGTAGCTGGGTATGTGTCCTGTCCTTTGCACCCCTCCTAGGGAACAGAACAGCTCAGCAGCAGAGCAGGTCCTGGCTGAGGTTGCTAAAACCATGCAGGGGTACCCCGTGGCTTTCAGAGGGGCTCGGATCCTCACAGGAGAGGAGGAGGGGGCCTATGGCTGGATCACCATCAACTACCTGCTGGACTCCTTCACCAAGGTGGGAGAAGGGTGCAACACCCACTCCTTTGCTTGTAGAGCTTTCTGATTTTCCTCAAGCTTTCTAAGTGCAGGAGAGGTCAGGGTTGGCAGCTTTTGGGAATGAGCCAAGGGAAGGAGACACATCCTCTGGCTGGCCCACAGCGAGTGAGGAGGGAGGACTCGGGAATGAGGGTGTCTGCTGAGAGCTCAGGGCAATCTCCACAGCGAGTGGACAGAGGGTCTCTCGGGGACTGGGAGGTGAGTGCAGCACAGCTGGGCTCTGTGTCCCTGCCTGGGAAGCTCCATCCCCCTGCAGTGCTGGGAGACTCCAGCTGAAGGCAGCTCACACCAAAGCTCTGTCCCAGCCCTGCCACAGCTCAGTGCTGGGCTCCTCTGGGGGCTGTTGGAGGATTCTTGGATAGAAATCCTTCCTCCTGCCCCAGAGCTCTGCAGCCTCCTTGGCAAGGGCAAGTCCCCGAGCCTGTTGCCACCAGCCCTTTGGCCTGGGGGTGGTGACTCAGAGCCAGGTGAGCCCACAGGTGAGGTCAGCAGCTACTGACCACCTGAGAGTGAGGGTCAGCTCCTGCTGACCCCCTGAGAGTTCCATCTCTGCCGTGGCTCTGATCACTATCCCAGCTGCCTGGGCAGGGAGGGTAGGAGGGCTCACATGCAGAGGCCATTGAATTTAATAACAAAAGCCTGTTGTCTTCAATGGGATGAGAATTCTGCTCAGGGCATTCTGTGCCACTCCTGTTCCTCCCCTGGTCTCATTGGCAGTACTCTCCGAAAGCACACACCTGGCTTCGTCCGGAGGCAGCCGACATTTTTGGGGCGCTGGATCTTGGAGGAGCATCCACCCAAATCACCTTCGTGCCTGAAGGTTCAGCCCTGAGCCAGAATGAAGGCTCTGAGCTGACCCTGTATGGGTACAGGTACAGGATCTATGCTCACAGCTACCTGTGCTACGGGCAGGACGAGATGCTGAAGCGGCTGGCCCAGGAATTGATTGTGGTGAGTGGCTGCTGAGCCCTGCAGTGTCACAATGCCAAGCACACACCTGTTAATGCACAAAGTAAGGACAGGCAGGGCTCTTCTGGAGAGGCATCAGCAAGGACTGAGAGCAAGGACAGACTCCCTGGAGCGTGGCAGGGCAGATGTGGAGAGGAGCATGGGTATAATGGAGTCCCAGGCTGGTTTGGGTTGGAAGGGACTTTAAAGATCATCTTGTTCTGCCCCCTGCCATGGGCAGGGACACCTTCCACTACCCCCAGCTGCTCCAAGCCCCATCCAGCCTGGCCTTGGACACTGCCAGGGATGGGGGAAATGTCACAAGGGGCAGTTTGGGATCTTCTGGCTTCACATGGGGTGTGCAGAAGTACAGGACCAGGCTCTTCTCAGAGGTGCAAAGTGCAGGGTAAGAGGCAAGGGGCACAAGCTGGAACATCAGAGTTTCCAACCAGACAAAGGGGAAAAGGTTTCCCCAACAGGAATGATCAGATACTGGAATAAGACCCAGAAATGCTGTAGAGTCGTTGTCGTGGAGATCCTCAGAACTTGATGGTCGAGGCTCTGAGCAGCCTGCTCTAGTTGGTCAGGCCTTAACAAGAGGGAGATCACAGGCAGCCTCCAGCTCCCCTGAACCTCAGCTACTCTGTGACCTCACAGCCTGAGAAATGTGAGCTGAAGATGTTTCTCAGACCATTTTTTGGAAGGTCAGAGGTGAAGAGCATCTTTAAGGAGCTGCACCTCACCAGCAGAGCAGCCTTGGTGAGCCAGGAGGGTTTGCCCTTGCTGTATGGCCAGGAAAGTCCCATATGGTGACCCTGGATAGAGTTGGAGCTAGAACCAGAGCCAGAGCTGGTTTTAGAGGTTTTAGCTGGTTTTAGTTTTAGCCTCTCTAAAGCTAGAGAGGGGTTTACATGTCCCCAAAGAGGACCTTGTGGCCAAGGCAGAGACATGCTGGGTCCTTGAAACTGGTCTGCCTCTGTGGGAGAGGGAATGTGATAAAGCAGAGTGAGAATTAGTGCTGGGCTCGTGCTGGGACAGCCAGCAAGGCCAGGACTGAGGGACAGGAGGAATTGGGAATGCAGTGCCTGGGCTTTGGGGAGGTGCTGGCTGTGTGCACACACAGCCAGGAGGCTCCAGAGCATTGTTATCTTATTGTATTCATATTTCTAGAGCCCCATACTGTCACAGTCATATTTCTAAAGCCCTGTACCTTTTCAGTGATATTTCTGGGAGGGCAGTTCTTCACAGCACAGACTTCTTCTGCTTGCTACTGCTTCTCAGTCAGGACTCCCTCCAGGCTCTCCCTGACTGGCCAACATACCCCCTTTTATCCCAGTTATCTTCACCAGCCGCAGCTGCAGCCCAATTAAGGACATCGCAGCTGCCGCCCATCAAGAACACCCGGGGCTAATCCGGGCAAGGCCTATATACAGATATTCAAATACAACACAGATATTTTACTACTATTTTACTCCTACTATACCGGCGGAGCTGCAGCTGCTTTTTGCTGTCCTCAGGAGTCGTTCCCCAGCACCCGGGTCCTGCACCCCTGCTACCCCAGGGGCTACGAGGAGCCGGTGTCGCTGTCGTGGCTCCGCGTCAGCCCCTGCACGGGCAGCGACCCGCGCCTGGCCCCGGGGGACAGCGCGGTCACCCTGGAGGGCAGCGGCAATGCCAGCGCCTGCCGGGCAGCGCTCAGGAGCCTCCTCAACCTCCCGGCGTGCGGCCACAGCCAGGACTGCGCCTTGGACGGTGTCCCCCGGCCCCCGCTCCGGGGACGCTTCATCGTAAGGCAAACCCGTCCCCCCTGCTCGGAAAGGCTCCCCCGGGCTGGGCTGTCCCCAATGCCCCGGCACTGTCACCTCCCTGCGGGACAGGGCGAGAGGCTCCCCAGGCACCGCTGGGCACTCTGGGCATTCATTGCTGCTGGGCGCTTTGCCAGCCACACCTCCAATGGGACCGTGCTGGGAATCATCGGATCCCAGACTGGTTTGGGTTGGAAGGGATGTTCAATCTCATCCTGAGCCCCCCCCGCCATGGGCAGGGACAGCTCCCACTGTCCCAGGGTGCTCTGAGCCCTGTCCAACCGGGCCTTGGGCACTGCCAGGGATTTGTTAATGAAACAGGGCTTGTCAGTAGGAGTTGAGACAGCAGCTTCAGGCACGGCTCTGGCTGTGCTGCTGTCACCAGCAGGCACCAACCCCCAGCCCAGCACCTGCAGGGACAGGGACAGCAATGCTGGGCTGGAACAAACCCCGTGAAGGAAAACCTCACCTCCTGCTTCGGGCAGCTGCTGGGGGTGCCCCATGCAGCTCACCAGGGTTTCTGTCTCCGTTTGTCCCTTGCCTTACAGGCCTTCTCTGCCTTCTACTACAACTTCAAGTTCCTGAACCTGACAGAGGGGCAGCCGCTGGCCGCGGTCAGAGAGGCCATCGAGGGGCTCTGCAGCCGGAGCTGGCAGGATGTATGCTGCTCCTCAGCATGGAGCCACAGTGGGACACGCAGAAACAAAGGGCTCCTGGGTTGGGGGGGGGGGCAGTGGGGACCCCTCCAGGGCAAGGCACACTGGTTCTGAGCTGTGTCCTACGCAGCAGAGCCACCCTGAGCTCTTTGTGGAGCTGGAACTGTCCTGCATCCACTCCTTGCTCATTCACCCTTGGGAAGAGGGCAGCCAGGGCAGGCAAGGGCAGCAAGCAGCTGGGCTTGGAGGTGGGGATGGGGATGGAGGTGGGGATGGGGATGCCACAGAGGATGGTGAGAGCAAAGCCAGCTGGTGGCACCATGCCAGAGACAAGTCAAATCTTGGAATCATAGAATTCCAGACTGGTTTGGTTGGGAAGGCTCATCTTGTTCCACATCCCTGATGTGGGCAGGGACACCTTGCACTAGACCAGGCTGCTCTAAGCCCATCCAATCTGGCCTTGAGCACTTGCAGGGATGGAGCGGCCACAGCTCTGGGCAGTACATGGGGGGGGATAAGCACAGAAATGTGCCAGCACCACCATGGGGCAGGGAGCAGGAGCCCCTTGCATGAAGAGGCTGAGATGGAGAATGTGGGGCAGGAGGAGCTACAGTAAGCTACAATATGTGCCTGTTTCTGTTTGGAGTGTAAATCCTCCCCAAAGGAGCTGCTCTGCATAGAGAGGTCCAAAATCACTGCCCAGCCCAGGAGTCTCTACCTGGATGCTCGTGACTGTGGAGCCACTGCATGCAGCACATTTCAGGGCTTTGTCTCTGCACAGAAAGTGCCTGTCAATAACTCCCCTTCACCCCAAACATTCCCCACCCCAGCTCTCTTCCAGCTACCCCACAGAGAACCCCAAGTGGCTGCCCAGGTACTGTGCCAACGCCAACTACATCCTCACCCTCCTGCTCGACGCCTACAAGTTCAACGAGAGCAGCTGGAGCAACATCTGCTTCCAGATGAAGGTGGGCACTGCTCCCAGTCCCTGAGGGGGAGCAGAGGTGGTCCTGGGGGAGAACCAGCTCCACATTGGGGTGCTGGGGAGAACCAGCCCCACATTGGGGTGCTGGGGAGAACCAGCCCATGTTGGGATGCTGGGGAGAGCCAGACTGTGTGTGGGGATGCTGGGGAGAGCTAGCTCCCACATTGGGCTGCTAAGGGGGAGCCAGCCCTTGTGCTGGGGTCCTGGGAGGGAGCCAGCCCTTGTTTTGGGGTGCTGTGGAGGAGCCAGCCCCTGTGTGGGGGTGCTGGGGAGAACCAGCCCCACGCTGGGGTGTGCTGGGGAGCAGTGGTGCAGAGAGCCCTGCCTGCCCCCCATGGCACTGCTGTGGACTGAGCAGGATGGGTGGGTGGCCCTGGGCCAGCAGGGGCTCCCCTGCAGGGCTGACCCTCTCCCCTCTCTCAGGGCAGGGCTGACCCCGTCCCCTCTCTCTGGGCAGGGCTGACCCCGTCCCCTCTCTCAGGGCAGGGCTGACCCTGTCCCCTCTCTCAGGGCAGGGCTGACCCTGTCCCCTCTCTATGGGCAGGGCTGACCCCGTCCCCTCTCTCTGGGCAGGGCTGACCCTGTCCCCTCTCTCTGGGCAGGGCTGACCCTGTCCCCTCTCTATGGGCAGGGCTGACCCTCTCCCCTCTCTCAGGGCAGGGCTGACCCTGTCCCCTCTCTATGGGCAGGCCTGACCCCATCCCCTCTCTCTGGCAGGCCGGGGGTGCTGACGTGGGCTGGACGCTGGGGTACATGCTGAACCTCACCAACATGGTCCCGGCCGAGGCTCCAGCCAGGCTGAAGGGCCACAGCTCGTCTCTGTGGGCTGCAGCCATCGCCTTCATCATCCTCACCCTCATCCTGGGGCTCGCTGCCCTGCTCCTGCAGCTGTGGGTGTAGAGCCTGGCCGTGTTTGGGAGCCCAGCAGGGACAGGCTGGGGCTGCAGGGCCGTGCTGGAGTCCCCCTGCTCCTGCCTGCATCACTGGAGCCAGGACTGGGTCTGTGCTGTGAGCAGAGCCACCTCCACAGCTCCAGAGAACTGGGGGCTGCTTCTCCGTGGGCCTGGCCCCCAACATGCAGACAGGCACTCTGAGGTTTCCAGAGGAGCTCCACTCCCATGGAGGCACAATGGGATCAGCCTGCAGAAGCCTCAGCCGAGCCTGCGTGCCTGCTGTCAGTGCTCTGTGTGTTACAGACATGGCTCCATCCCACCAGCTGGCCCTGGGGCTGTGGACTGGCTGTGGGACAGTGCCCTGGTGCCAGCCTGGTGGGGCATGGGGCAGCACCTGGGGACAGGGTGCTCCATGCAGTGCCAGCTCTGAGCGTGGCCACCAAGAGCCAGCGGGTCCCTGCCGGCTCTGCCAGCCTGAGGATGCTCTGTGGGACCCCAGCTGGCCCTGGGCAGGGTCTGTGCCTGGGGCTTTCTTGGAGAAAGAACACTGAGCACCCACAGTCAGAAGTGTGGTCCATGCCCCTCCAGAGTCCATCTCATCATCTCATCACCGTGCTGTGGCATGTCATGTCATCATCACATCTCACCACCCATCACATCCTCTCCCTTTTCTCCTGGAATAAAGGGATTGATGTTCCTCAGTGCCTTCCTGCAGACAGCACTGTCCCACCAGCAGAAGGCCTGGACCCCATGGTGTCAGGATGAGGCTCCAGCAGGCTGTGAGTCCTGCCCTGCCCATGGCCTTTGCCTTTGGTTCTGCTCGTTTTTAGCTGCTCTCTGCATGACTCATGCTGTTGTTTGCGTTCCCACAGTGAGGAACAAACCTTTGGTGTCCCTGTGGAATGCTGGGCACCTCACAGCTCTCGCCACCCAAATAAACAAATAAATAAAAGGCAGCACATGGGGAAATGCCTGCTACTCTGCTTCCAAATCGTTGTGATTTTATTACTTCTGTCTCCCAGGTAAGGGCTGGTGACGACAGAGACTCGGGTGAGGCAGTGAATCTATGGGAGGTGTCCCTGCAGACACTGAGGTGGCTGCTGGACTTTGGAGTGGAGCCAGCAGGGCACAAGGACAGGCCTTTCCTTCTCTGAGGAGGTGTCTCACCTCACCCATCACTTGGCTGCCAACAGCACTCCCCAAAAATGTACGGGGGGCCCTGGAAGCTGCCTCTGCCATGTGCCAGCAGTGTTCCCGAGTCACCCTGTGTTGGGAAGGGAGGATGAGCCATGGGGCACGGGGTGCAGCTGGACTGGAGAGGAACCTCATTGCAGGAGAGGAGGCAGAGCTGTGCCATCCCCCCTCAAAGGGCTTCCCAGCCCTAGACAGAGCCCTGTCTCACAGCTGTGGGGAGGCTGTTTGTTGCACAGCTGTGAGGAGGGTGTTTGTTTTACAGCTGTGAGGGTGTTTGTTTCACAGCTGTGAGGAGGGTGTTTCACAGCTGTGAGGAGGGTGTTTTACAGCTGTGGGGAAGGTGTTTCACAGCTGTGAGGACGGTGTTGCACAGCTGTGAGGAGGGTGTTTGTTCCACAGCTGTGCCAGCTCCAGCTCACCAGGCCAGGACTCGGGACCCCCAGGACAAGCCTGTGGCCCCTGGGCACACAGGGGGGATTCTCAGGAAGCAGCTCCCTGCAGAGGAGTGGCAGCAGGACCCGGCCTGGCGGCCTCTGGAGGCAGTGCTGCTACAGCTGCTCGTAGCCCGAGGAGTTTCTGTGGCAGCACGTGGCTGTGAGCAGGCAGAAGATGAGGATGAGCATGATGGCCAGCAGAAGGGTGGCTGCTATCCAGATGCTTCTCGGGAGCTCTGTGACTGCTCTGGGAGGCTCTGAGGGGATCAGGTTGGTGAGATTGAGCATGTAGCCCAGAGTCCAGCCCACATCTGTGTTAGCAACCTGTGCAGACAGACAGGGAAGAGGGATGGGAAAGGCTGCAAAGTACCAGGCAAACTAGAGAAGAGCCTGCACCGCCAGGACCTGCTCCACAACCACCATTTCTGTGCCCAGCTTGGGCTGCAGGGGCCCCAGCAGTGGCATACACTGGGGGAGAGCACAAAGGGCCAGGCCAGATGTGCCAGCAGCTGTGTGAGTGTAGCTCAGGAGCTGCCCTGGGTATGGGCAGTGGGTCTGTGCTGTCCTGGCATCCCCCGTCCCCAGCAGCAGCAGGGGGGACACAAGGCACTTCATGGCACAAAGTGTGGAAGCTGGGGGCTGCTGGACACTCTCCTACCTGCTGGATGAAGTGGATGCTGGGCCATGTTGTGATGTTGAATTTGTAGCCTTGCAGGAGGAGGGTGAGGATGTAGGAGCTGGCTGAGCAGGCGTCACGGAGCTGGGTCCTGCTCGCCGTGGGGAACAACTCCTGCACCTGCAGAGGTGGGAGAACAGGGGCAGGCTGGACCCAGAGCAGTGCTGGATGTGCCCACGCTGGGGAGCAGCCCCTCTGCAGCTGGGAGCAAAGAGACCCCGGGGAGCAGCAGGCTGCTCTCCCATCTCTCTCCAGGTGCACAGACCTTTGCGCTCCTCCTGGCTCTCTGCAGCTGAGCACAGCAGAGGAGGGGCTGGGGATGAGCCTTGAGGCTGCCCAGTGCCCAGGTGAAACACACTCCTGGGCAGAACCTCACCTGCTTCCAGCTGCTGTTGCATATCTGCCTGATGGTGGCATTGACCAAGGTCAGGGACTGCTCTCCTGTCAGGTTCAGGAAGTGAAGGCTGTGATAAAACCCTGAGAAGGCCTGTGGGTGTCGAGACCAAAGGTGACAGGTTATTGAAGCACTCAGGACACTGATGCCACCCACCCCTAAGCAGGGGTCCCTGTAAGGCCCCGCTCACACTGCAAGGAGCTGGCAGTGACCCTGGGGGAGGCAGCTGGGAACGCTGCCCACACAGACAGGGAATGGCACTGGGAGAAGAGAGGTCTGGGGCTGCCTGGCACACAGGTCAGCACCCCCTTGATGGTCTGCCAGAAAGTCTCAGAGCTGGCTCACAACCCAGGGGCTGTTCCTGCACTCTGAGCTGGCTCACACAGGCTCCCTCAGACAAGGTCTTCCCATTTCCCTCAGGAATGCTGGCACGTGGCAGGAGGCAGAAGCCACCTCTGAGCACACAAGAGGTTTGCAGATAGAGCCAGCTCCGAGGATCCCTCTCTCCCCAGCCCGTTCCACAATCAGTGGCAGAGCAGACACCCAGGCCCTGCCTTCACCCTCCCCCAGGCAGGGCACGGAGGCTGCTTACCAAGAACTGTCCCCGCACGGGGGGCTGATAGACCCCATTGAAGCCGCACGGCCCCTGCGCCCCGCAGCTGAAGTTGAAGAGTCTCCGCACGGCCGTGTCACACGCGGCTGGGTCCCCTGTCCCCGTCACCGTGAGGACAAGGCCAGGGCTGGCTGAGCTGGGCGCACGCACACAGGGGCTGTCGTAGAGCTCTGCCACGGTGATGTTCTCCTGGTACCCCTGGGGGTAGCAGGGGTGCTTGATCTGGCTACTCGAGCTCGCCTGGAGAGAGATGGAGCCATTAATGGGGCTGCAGTGCCACTGAGACCTTCCCACAGCCCATCCCAAAAGGCAGGACTACACCCCAGGAGGACTGCATGCACCCCACCTGGGAGCTCCCTGAGCAGCCCTGGCTCCTGCAGCGCTGGGCTCTGCCTCTGTCCCCGGGCAGCAGTGCAGGGACTGTGCTGGGAAACCTCTCTCTGGGCAGGAATGGAGCAAGGCCAAGAGCATGGTGACAGCAGAAAAACTACACATACAGCTGGGCTGGGGAAATTACAAAAAATGCCACTGCACGTCAAGATGTGGGGAGAAGGGAGCCCTGGCTGGCAACCACCACCACCTTCCACCCAAATGAGGCAATTTTTTGCTTCCCTAGATAAAACCCAAGCCTCTGCCAACTCCTGACTCTTGGCCCACAGGCACGCCCAGCGCTCCAGGGGGAGATGTGCCACAGCACTGGGAGATGGCTGAGCAGCCCCCGTGCCCCGTGGCACCTGGTGCAGAGCTGCCAGCAGCATCTTCAGGGCCTGGCTCTGCCCGTAGCACAGGTAGCTGTGGCTGTACAGGGAGTAGTTGGTGCCGTAGAGCCGGAAGAACACGGACGTGTTCCTGTCCTCCACGGGGACCCCGGGCTGGAAGGTGATCTGCGTCGAGGCACCGCCGAGGTCCAGAGCTCCCAGAACCTCGCTGTCCTGGGGATGCTCCCATTTCTCTGCAAACGAGAACTGGCCCAACACACAGCAAGGCTTAGCCTGAACTGCAGCACTCACACTCCCACTCCCTTCCCGCAAGGACTTGGGGGCCCCAGGGGCACCTTCCACCTGCTCCTGGCTCCCTGATTTACCCATGCCTGCCCACATCCTCCTCAACCCACGGACACTTCCACAGAGCACTCAGGCGTGGCCTCTTGGCTGCTGCACATCTGCTGGGATCCAGACACTTGGAGCAAGGAAAAAGGAACCCTGTACCCTGGAGGCCGATCCCGCTGCCAGATCCCTGGGACCCCAAAATCCACCCCTGTGTCAGCACATGAGAGCACAGGCTGAGCTGGACACAAAGATCCTGTTAATCCCATTAACGAGGTGGAATCTGCAGCCCACAACCACAGGGTACCTTTGCCTGCCTGACCAGTGCCCCAAAGCTCCATTCCTCCCTCCTCTGCAGGTAAGGAAAGCTGCTGCAGCTCAGACAGGGACGTTCTCCCCACCGGCCCTCCCCTGCCCTCTCCCCAGCTGCACCTTGACCAGTGTCTCCAGCAGGTAGTTGACAGTGACCCAGCCAAAGGAGCCCTCCTCGCTGCCCGTCAGGATCCGGGCTCCGCGGAAATCCACAGGGTACTCCCCAATGGCCTTGGACACCTCGGCCAAGACCTGCTCGGCCTTGCTGCTGTTCTCCTCCCTGCCAGCAAAGGCACAAACACCTCAGGTGCTGCACGCCCTGCCTGGCACCTCTGGCA